TTGTTTCTCCTCAGTATTTCTGACAATGTCTGTTACTGACCACAATCTTTTGTCAATGAGTCTTTGGGGAAATGAAGAAACAAGCGTGGTGCCCAGTGTGGAATGGGTGGGGCTTCAGGAAAGACAGCAGCTAGAGAAGGAATGGAACATGGAGCAGTGTGGAACTGGGAGGAGACAGGGTGAGTGGGCTGAAGATCAGGAAGATAAGAAAACTTGGTAGAGAAAGGTCCCTGGAGTGATTGTAGGGATTAGAACCCACACTGCTCAAGGCAGTAATCACCTTGACCTCCTGCAAAGACCTCCTCTTCCTACATCCCTTGCCTCTGCAGTCAGCACCAGAACTAAGAATCCAACCCGCGTTCCAGGCATCCAGATAGGACACCCTATCGAGACACTCCATTTTTCAGACCTTCCTCCTATTATCTTAATGCTGCTCTCCTCACCCTGTCATTAAACTATGCCGGCATGTCTCTACCAGCATGTACACAGTTATTCCTCTACTAATTCCTCTACTAATCACACCTCTCAACCAGATTTACTGTCACTTTAATCACGTGAACCCCAGAGTTTCTTGGCAGCCATGTGAAAGTAGAAGCAGAGCTCAACACTAACTACCACTAATCCAAGGAGCAATCACACATGGCATGTTCAAGTGTCTGCCTCAACATCATCATAACCTCTGCACCACTCACATTTCCTTGACAGTTTTCTATTCTCCAAATCTCTTTAGGGACAGGAGTGTGATAAATGGTCACATGACTCATTTATCATATTAACTTTGCCCAGGCTGGCCCCGAACCGTGATCTTCCAGACTGGCATTATGAACCAGGCACTGGTGGCTCACACCTGTCATCCCAGTTACACAGGAGGCAGAGAGATCAGGAGGATGCAGGTTCTCAAATCCCAGTACCACAGAAGACCAAACCTCTCCTGGGGCTGAAGCAGGTTATAATGAAGCCACCTGATCATGAGTCAGTGACCTTATCTGAGGCAAGTTCAATGCACAGGCCTCCTCTGGGCTTTATTAGCATCATTAATCAAGAGGTAGTCTGTGAGGAGCTTCTCTTCACACAGGGTGTGTGCAGTCTTACTAATGTAATAATGGGAAATTAATCTGTGTCAGGAAGATGCTTGCAGATCCTGTGGTGAGTTTTTTTAAAAACATTGTTAACAATGAATTTATTGTTTCAAGCTCTTTATTTTCTGTCTCTTTTTCCTGAAGGACAAACAAATATATTTAAACCTTTGATGCATCTGAGAAAGGTCTCAGGAATATAGAGGATCCCCAAAAATCCTGCACAGGACTTCAAGGTGGTGATTTCCTTAGCGAGGTGGAGAGGAATGAAATCAGAGGGTATCAAGAAGCTTCAGTTGTATTTGTAACATTTATTTTCTTTTTGTTTTTGTGAAGTGAGGTTTGAACTCAGGGCTTTGCACTTGCTAAGCAGGTGCTCAACCATTTGAGCCAGGCCCCCAGCCCTTTTTACTCTGCTTATTTTGGAGACAGGGTCTTACTTTTTGCCCAGGCCATCCTAGACCATGGTCCTTGTATTTTAATCTTCCTACTGTTGCTGGAATAACAGACATAAGACCATACCCAAGTGTTTTCCCTTAAGAGGGTGGTCTCACTAACCTTCTTCTGTTGCCCAAGGTAGCCTGGAACCTGGGATATGGGCACATGGTAGGGTGCCCAACTATTGGTTGAGATGTGTGTGTGGGTGGGTGGGTTCTCTGGAACTATTTTCCCAGGCTGGTCTCAAACAGTGATCATCCTTCAGATTTCAGCTTCTAAGTAGCTAGCCAACAGAACCCAGCTGTGACATTTTATTCTAAAGAAGGTGGGTGGGGGGAAGGGAGAGGGAGAGAGAGAAGAGAGCCAGAGAAAGCTTGAGGGGGCGGGATGGGGGGCTGCATTGCATGGTGTGACAGAGAGCAAGAATGCCTAGCAAGCAGAGTCCCTGAGTTCAGTCCCCCATACCCCATCCACACACAGGCTGAAGCATATATTGTAAAATGGTAACACTTAGAACAGCCTGGTGTGTGTGCATCATATAATGCTTTCCTCTTTTCTGTGCTTGAAATGCACAGAGAAAAGAGGAAAGTTTGTTGTGCCAAACAAAAAACAACAAACTTGGCAAAAATATTCAAGATATGTATGGGAAGATGATCTATTTTTAATCATTCTCAGCCTTTTGGCTAAAATCAAGCAGAGAAAAGACCTTCCTTCCTCCCTCCCTCCCTCCCTCTTCCCTTTTCTTTCTCTCTTGCTTTTTCTTTGTGTGTGTGTGTGTGTGTGGTACTTGGAATTGAACTCAGGGACTTGCTAGACAGCTATTACTTGAGCAACAACATTCAGAGCTCTTTTTATTTTTTTTGGTGGGGGGGGTACATTGTGCACATTGTGGCATTAACAAACTTCTTACTCCCAGATCTTTTTGCCTTTTACTTATTTTTCAGGTAGAGTTTCACATTCATTTTTTTCCCGGGTTGATTTCAGATACAATCCTCCTACCTATAGGCTCCCAAGTACCTGGTGCCACCATGCCCAGCTTTATTGATTGAGATGGGTTCTCACTGATTTCCCATCCTCTCCCCAGGCTGGACTTGAATAGCCATCCTCCTAATCTTGACTTCCCAATTAGTTGGGATTACAGGTGTAAGCCATTACATCTGCCCTATTTTCTTCATATACAAAGATAAATCAATTAAAAGAAAAAAGAGAAACTAATACAAAAGTCAGCAAAGGATATGAAAGAGGAAATTAAAAAAATAATTAGTGAAATTATAAAGTAGTCAGAATATGTGTATCTCTACGAGTATTTATATGTGTTTGTATATATATTAAGAAAATGAAAATCAAGAAAATACTGACAGACATTGTTTGTCACAGCAAAAAATTGAAGGACAAAAAGAGCTTCCAATGATGGAAGATAAGTTAACACTGATGCATCCAACTTGCAAAATATTATGTATCCATAAAGAAAATGAGGAGGACTAGAGGTGAGGATCAACCAGTAGATAGATTGCCTGCTTTGCAAGTCTGAAGCCCTGAGTTTAAACCCCAGTACTGAGATTCCAAGATGGCGGCTAGAGGGAGGAAGCAGAAAGCATGCTTCTTAAAGTAAAATCTTGGAGAGGCACTGGAGATACACCTTAAAGGAAAAACCAATGAGAAGAGGCAAAACTGTGACTCCTCCACACCCCCACCCTACACATAGCATCCCCACTTCACGTTAAATGGAGAAACCAGGAGGTCTCCCGCACCGCCAGATGCCAGCACCCAGACCTCCTGGGAAGATGCAGACCACAAGGTGAGCGAAGCAAAATGCAGTACTCCCAGAGACGAACCCTGGGCCAGATCAGCATTGCCCCCTGGAAAGACCACCCCTCACCTAGGGAAAAAACAAAAAAAAAATCTGAATAATAAGCAAGAACAACAAAAAAGACACATACCAAAGAGGGCGGGGTGCCCTGAGCTCTGAAGAGGGGGTAGAGGAAATCCCTCACAGAACTGTAAATAAACAAGCTGGTCGGAGAAGGCAGGAGTGGTGGCACATGCCCAGCAACCAGGAGCAGGAAAGCTTGTAAAAGCGGCAGTGGGAGGAAAACTGCACAGGAGAGGGGGAAGACCCACTCCCATGTGAGCTGTAAATAAACATGCAGGCCTGAGAAAGCGGGTGCAGTGTCACCTCCTCCAGTGAGCTTGGAAAGGGGAAAGCTTGTAGCAGTGGCGGTTGTGCCCAGGAGAACTCTAAGTAAACAAAGCCTGAGGGGCCAGGTGAGTGTTAAGCTCACTCCTGAGATCTGCATAAATAAAGCCTCCAGCAACAGCAGGTTGACAGCAGCAGGCAGGTCAGCTGTAGCCTCAGATAGCCATTCACAGAACTATCTCCAGACTTTTTTTTTTTTTTTCCCTCTTCCTTTGATGAGACAACAACCGAACTACACCTGCATGCTGAAAAACTTACTGAAATTGTATTGCATTTGAACTTGGGACACTTTGTGGTGTTTTTTTTTGTTTTTTTTCCCCTTTGATGAGACAATGACAGAACTACTTCTGAGACACCATCTCCAGGATTGGAGGCTGAGGGACTGACACCAAAATTATTAAGACTGAAACTTTATTGTATTTGAACTTGGAGATTTTTCTTTTCAATCTTTTCAATCCTCTCTCTGTCTCTCTAATGGCTGTTTAGATTACTGTTGATTAGTATACTATCTCTCCCTATTTATATCTTTGAAACTTTTGTTTGGTAGGTTTTTTTTTTACTTCTTTGTTTTTCCCTTTTTCTTTAACTTCTTTGCTTTCCCTTTCCTCTCACTTTTCTATTCTAAATATCACCATTATTATTATAAGCTAGAAAATACTTAATTGCACATAGTACAGGGACAATAACAACACCAAGGGCAATGATGGGAAGACAGAAAAAACAAGGAAACCAGTTTCCCCACAACAAAAAATTAGTACGGAAACCAGAGGGAAATGAAGAAAACAGACACTCAGATCCACTCTGTATATTTCAATGTGAAATATATAGTAATATGGTCCCTAGTAAAGTGTTAAACCCCAAAGCAAAGTACTAAAATGGCATTTTCTAAAATTTTATAACTAAAATTAAACTTTGAAACTGAAAAAAACTGTCTCAAAATGGAAACCACAATTCTTAATTTGCAAATCAAATTCAATTTTACATTTTTATATTCTTTGTGTTTATCCATCCCCAATCACAATTTTTTGCAACCACAGTGCTTTAGTACAAACAATGCAGTCCTTCAAAACTGTGACTATTAATCATTAAGTCCTTTTTTGAGGACCAAAAATTAATGCTTCATTTAATAGATAACCAACTATCTAAAGCCAGAATCCATTTAGAATTGATAAATTAAATCTGAAATTCTCTTCCCTACATTATTATCCTGAAATTAGTTGTCTTGCTTGGGAATATAAAATGTGTACCTAGAAGCATCACATAATTTAAAAACACTCCCCCCCAGACACTTACTGTAGTTGAGACACAATTCCAGAACTTTCTGAAACAGGGCTCATTGCTGTCACGAGAGCTATGGAGGCTAGAGGTGAGGCATCCAAGTTTGGTTTCTCAGGTGGGGGCGGGGCTGAGTCAGCACCATCGGGGTGCAAATGTGAGTGGGAATTTGATAAACTGCTGTCAGCTAAGCCCATCCCAGTGTCCTCTTCGCTGGACAATGGCAACCTATTTGGTTGACCTTGAGCTTTACAATTTTCTTCAGTTTCACGTCGGCTTTTAACGACAGTCTGTTCTTTATTTTCGTGGGTGAGTTCATCTGGTAGGAAGCTAAGATCCACAGAGGAGAAATCACCAGCTGTTTCTTTGACTTCCCCAAGATGGGAATTAAATGCCGTGTGTGGAGTGGATGGATTAGGTACGTACACATCATACGGTACCACTGGGCTGAACAGGGGAGACACAGGTGGGGCAAGGTCATCCTGGGCCGTTCCCCAAACACACACAGAACAGTGTGTCACACAGCAGGCATTACCAGCATGGCAGGAAGACAATGTGCTCATCTCAAAGGTGGTTCAGACAGCTTACATTCACGGCCTCCCTCTTTCTACAAAGTACCAGTAAGATTCTACCACAGCATTGCAGCATGCCTCACAGAATTGACCTTAAAATGCAGAAAAAGCATTTCCTTCATCACTCACTCTTCCTACGTGGGTTAAATCCATAGTAGTTACCACTGTCCGTAGCATTTTTATTTTACTTTATTTTTGGCAGTAGTGGGGTTTGAATTCAGAGCCTGGCCCTTGCTAAGTGGGCATTCTACATTTGATCCATGCCCCCAGCTTGCTATGAAGGTTTTTTTTTTTTTTGGTAGCATTTTTATTTTAAGTTATCATTCCCTAAATCCAATTTTGTAGTAGAAGCAATGAGCACCCATGCTCTAATTTGTATTTATTTTGAAGAGAATGGATTCACTGGATTACTTGAGTAAATTATAAACTTCAGTTCATTTATTTAAATAACTTTTAGAGTTTTAAATTCTTTTTTTGGGCACTGGTGATTGAACCCAGGGCCTTGCACTTGCTAGGTGAGCACTCTACCACATGAGCTATACCTCAGCCCTTTTGCTTTTATTTTGTCTTTGAGATAGGTTTGCCTTAACTGTGCCCAGGCTGGCCTCAAACTCATGATCCTCCTGTCTCTGGAGTAGCCATTAAATTCATGTTTTAAAGAAAAGAATATATGAAGTCTAAAGTATAGTTGCAAATGTTAATCAACACTCACTGAAGACTAGCATTTTTTTTTTAATCAAAGGAGAGGTAAGAAAAAAAATCTAGTTACATGAATTTACAATAGGAAAAAAGATTTAATGATTAAGGATAGTTTAAATCCATCACCATTGTATTTTCAGTCTGAGGAAGGCTGCTCAATTACCATTTCCCAGCAACTGAGGGAATTAGGGTGCATGTGAGGAGAACACTGGATATAAAATCTGACTATACTGCTGAAAAAATCTGTACCTTGCTTCACGCATTGCCACTGTGTCGCGTAAGCCGCAGGCTTAGGTTCCAGATTTTGTGCCATGCTTGTAGGAGAACCCTATTTCTTAGATCTTACTTCTGACAATGGAATGGTCATGCCACATCGTGTATCCTCTGGATGACAAAGCTACCTCAGCTAACAGTATCTGGCTGAGTCCTACTGAACTGTTCTGTTATTACAAGTCCAGCAGGTGGCAGGGGTGACCAGTTGTTCAAAGCAAATACTCTTGAAATAAGACTTTTAACTTATATTTCATTTTGAATTATGCAATTAGCCCCCAGCCTCTCCTCACCCTCCCCATCCCACAACATGGCCCTAAGAAATGTGAGGTGAGGAAAATGGGCCCCAGTTCCTCAACCATGGTTTATTTGGCCTCTCTTGTCCTTACTGGAAACGGTCTGTCAGCCAATTGACACTAAAGCACTTACAAAGTTCCGAATCAGGGTCTCCCTTCCTGCCCCGCCATGGCATTTTGTCAGGGGACAAAGCTCTCAGCAAGGACCTTAAAGCAATGACAAGGTGTTAGGGGGATTTTTTTGGCAGTGGAGTCTTGCCAGCCCCACTTCCAAGTTCTATTAAGTTCTAAGAACTTAATAGAAAGTATGAGAGTATGTTCAAAGCCTCCTGCTTCACAGCTGAAGAAATTGTTACAGTTTTTGCAGAACGTTCAACTCATTTTCCCCAGTCTTTCCTGCCTGGCTCAGTACTGTGGAACATCACTGTCTCTACCTCAGTCTGATCCTCATCTCCTCCCCCAACAACAAAAAAAGAAAAACAAAACCTCCCTCGCCCAAAAGTTCCCTTTTGCTTATTTTGAAGACCCTTCCTCTCTTTTCTACAATACTTGCCTTTAAAAGATTTTAATTTTTAAAAATCTTAAGAATGAGGCAGGCACTGGTTGCTCACTTCTGTAAATCCTAGCTACTTGGGAGGCAGAGACCAGGAGGATCTCAGTTTGAAGCCAGCCCAGGCAAATAGTTCACAAGACCCCCATCTAGAAGACACCCACCAAGAAAAAGGGCTGGAGGAGAAGTGGCTCAAGTGGTATAGAGCCTTCCTAGCAAACGTGAGGCGGTCAGTTCAAATCCCAGTGTTCGGAGGAAAAAAAAAAAAAGTCAGATGTGGCGACTGATGGAGGAAGAAGACTCTAGGAGGTAAGGACCAGCCTGGGCAAAATAGACTTGGCCTCAAATGAACAAAAACTTAAGAATTAACTGAAAGAAGCTACAGGTGTCTCCGGTTTGCGTTTTAACAAACCCACAACCGCCAGCTCCTCCAGGGCGACTTTCTCGAGCCTGTCTTTAGCATCAAGGCTGCAGGAATAGGAGGCTCACCTTTGCCCTAGCAAAGCAGGGACCCGCTGGAGCCGGGTCGCTGCTCCAGGAAACCCAGGGAACTCCGTGCGTGTTTCCTTAATAGCGGGAGGGAGCCGGCAGTGTCACCTGTGGACAGAGCGCTCTGGATTCACACTAGGCCGCCCGCGGTCCCTTCTGGTTGCAAGCCTTGGTTATCTCACCTCCCTGCTGAACGGCCCGGGTACCTGAGCCACCTCTTCAAGTGGCTTGGGGTTTTAGAAGAGGCCAAGGCCTTGAAGCTCAGCAGCAGGGTGAGGACCCTGACTCCGGGACAGTGGCACAGCTTCCGGGCTCACCTGGGCGGCACACCGATCCAGGTAGAGCTCCAGGTACTTCTCCTCCTCCATGGGCGGAGGTCCCCTGTGGTGAGTGAGGACAGACAAAGGAAGGCGCCTGGGTGACTGCAGCGAGCACTGCGGAGCCCGGCCACGCTCCCGGCGCAGGTGCCACTTATCAGCTGGCGGATGCACGAAGCGGGCGGGGCAGGGTCCCCAGACTGCACGAGGGAGGGGATGCAGGGCGGGGGGGGGGGGCGGCAGGGCGGCCCTCGCACACACCTGGGCAGCGCCTGGCCACAGGTACTTCCATCAGCCCTCGGAAAGGCGCCTTTACCGCCAGGAGGGGTCTCTTCAAGCAGCGCAAGGGAACGCAGTGGAAAAAAGATTGCCATTTTCTGTTCTTTTTAAGGGAATTCTTCTCAGGAGAGCAGTGGAATATGAGACACTTAACCTAGAATGGTATAGTATTTTAATGTCATTACTTTTTTGAGTTTTTTTTTTTTTTGGTGGTGGTGGTACTTGAATTTGAACTCAGGGCATCACACTTGCTAGGCAGCCAGCCCTTTTCTGCGTTGAGTTTTTTTGGTTTTTTTTTTTTGAGACAGGGTCTCTGAACTATTTGCCAAGGCTGGCTTCAAATTGCGATCCTCCTGAGTAGCTAGGATTACAGGCGTGAGCCACCAGTGCCTGTTACTGGTTTTTGCCTTCAAATCCCAGGTGGTTTTTTTTTTGTTGTTTTTTGTTTTTTGTTTTTTGTTTTCTGCCAGCCACAGAGAATTTATGGAAAGCCACATTCAGAAAGAATCCTGTTGCTCCACTATTGGGCTCAGGTAACTTAAGAAGGTAATGGCAAGCCAGCTATTCAAAGAGGATTTCTTTTTTTTTTAAATCATTATTTTAATTTTCAGTGCCTCACTTTTGTAAGAAAAGTGCTGAATGGTTCTGTAAATATAATTGACACTTTATCTAAAAGAGTTCAAAATGTGTGTGGGGACACACACATGTCTTCCCTACTTAATTATACTCTCGGAGAGCAGAAATTCATTCATCTTTGCATCTCTGTTCCGAGTTCATCTGCTCAATAAAACTTGATGGGTGAAGGAAGCTGACACAGTATGTTAGAGACAGATGGCTCTAAGAATCAGATCACAAAAGAAATCTTATAGAACTTCTAATCAAGAATAAAGGAAACATTTTGATAAAGCTGGAATTTTATGTAATGATATGTAATTTAATTAAATGGTTTAAATTAAGTGAGATAGCCTACAAAAAATGTTTAGCACAGTACCTACCTAGGAGCTCAATAAATGCATGGCTCTTAACTGTGCTGTTAGAGAGCTATGGACTGAATTGTACACCCCCCAAAATCACAGGTTGATGACCTAATTCAATATGACTGATGTCTTTGTATGAAGAGAAAGCTTGGACACATAGAGACACTTTTTTGTGCATATACACACCTGAAGGACATGGAATAATGTAAGCCAGAAGAATCTAAACCTGATGACACTTGATCTTGTACTGCCAATCGGCAGAACTGTGAGCAAATAATTTTCTGTTGTTTAAACTACCCAGTTCATAGTGTTTTGTTATGGCAGCCAAGGGAGACAAACACTCACAAGGTGTCTCTTCATATGTGGTAGGCAGAATGCTGATATGGCCCCAGAACCTTGCCTCTGGTGTACACACATCTTCTCCAGGTTATTCAAACACTAATCTGCATGCTCCTGTGATTTGTGGATGTCATTAAGGCTCAGCTGATGTTTAGAGAGATTATCCGGGCTAAGCCTGACCTAATCATGTGAGCCCTTAGAACGAACTGGCTCTTCTTTGGGAGGGAGAGTCAAAACATGAGGAGGACTTGCCTTCAGGAGTGTTCTTTACTGCTGGCTTTGAAACTGGATGGGGCCATGTGCAATGAATGTGGGTGACCTCTAGGACCTGAGAGTGGGCCACAATTGACAGCTAGCAAGAAAATGGGGCTCTTAGTCCTACAATTACAAGGAACTGAATTTGGCCATCAATAATGAATTAGTGGATTCCAAGATGGCAACTAGTGGGAGGAAGCAGAGAGCGTGCTTCCTAAAGTAAACTCCTGGAAAGACGCTGGAGATACACCTGCTAGGAAAAACCACCAAGAAGAGGCAAAACTCTGACACCTCCATACCCCCAGCACGCACATAGCATCCTTAAGCCACGTTAAACAGAGAAACCAGGAGGCTGCCACACCACCAGATGCCAGTTCCTAACCTGCTTGGGAGACCACAAGCTCACTGTTGATTAGTACACTATCTCTCCCTGTTTATGTCTTCAGCTCTGTTTTTTGTTTTGTTTCTTTCCCTTTTTCTTTACCATCTTTGCTTTCCCTATCCTCTCACCCCTCCATTCTAGATATCATCATTGTTACTATTATAAGCTAGACAATACTGAATTACACACAGTACAGAGACAGTAACAGTAGCAAGGGCAATGATGGGAAGATGGAATAAAAGAGGGAAACCATTTCCCCCCCAATAATAAATTAGTACAGGAACCAGAGGGAAATGAAGAAAACAGATGCCCAGATCCAGACTCCAACAAAACGAAGATAAACTATGCCAAAGAACCCAATGAAGCCCACAAGAACATCCTGAAGGAAGTAACCCATGAGAATTTTATAGAGATGATACTGGATAGGGTCAACCAAAATGTACAGGAGACACTCAACAAATTCCAAGACAACAAAAATAGGGAATTTGAGAAAGCATAAGAACAAATAAAAGAAACCATAGAAGCACTGTATAAACACCAAAGTGAAACAAAGAACATGATAAATAAAGAGATAAATGAACTCAGAACAAAAACAGACAATATTAAGGAGGAAGCGTCTCAGGATATGGAAAACCTCAGAAAAAAGAATGAAACAGAACTGCAAAACAAAACGGAAGGCCAATCCAGCAGAATAGAACAAACAGAAGACAGAATCTCAGAACTTGAAGATAAAATGGTAATTAAAGGAAAAACCAAAGAACTATTAATTAAAAAACTCAAGACCTGTGAAAAGAAAATGCAAGAACTCACCGACTCCATCAAACCTGAGAATCATGGGCATCGAAGAAGGAGAAGAGGTGCAAGTGAAGGGAATGCATAATATATTCAACAAAATAATTACAGAAAATTTCCAAAATCTAGAGAAATCTATTCACATACAGGTGCATGAGGCTTCCAGAACACTAAACAGACCAGACCAAAATAGAACTACCCCATGGCATATTATTAAAACAAGTACAGAGACTCAATAAAGAATATTGAAGGCTGTAAGAGAGAAAAAACAAATAACATACAAAGGTAAACCCATCAAAATCACAGCAGACTTCTCAACAGAAACATTACAAGCAAGAAGAGCTTGGAGAGAGGTCTTCCAGGCACCAAATGAAAAAAACTTCAACCCCAGGATACTCTACCAAGCAAAAATATCATTCAAAATAGATGGAACAATAAAAATCTTCCATGATAAGCAGAAACTAAAACAATATATGACCACAAAGCCATCACTGCGAAAGATTCTTCAAGGGATTCTGCACACTGAAAGTGAAACCCAACTTAACCATGAAAAGGCAGGCAGCACCAAACGACAGGAAAAGAAAAAGCAAGACAGTAGAGAGTAACCTCAACTTAGGTACACACAATCAAACCTTCAAACAACTAAAAAAACTAAATGACATGAATCACCACATACCTATCAGTGCTAACACTTACTGTTAACAGACTTAACTCCCCCATCAAAAGGCACCGCTTGACAAACTGGATTAAAAAGGAAGATCCAACAATTTATTGCTTACAGGAGGCCCACCTCATCGATAGAAATAAGCATAGGCTCAGGATGAAAGGTTGGAAGTAGATTTACCAAGCCAATGGCCCCCCAAAACAGGCAGGAGTAGCAATACTTATCTCTGACAAAGTAGACTTCAAACCTACATTGATCAAACGAGATAAAGAAGGACATTCCATACTAATAAAAGGGGAAATAGACCAAAAGGAAATAACAATTATCAACCTATATGCACCCAATGTCAACGCACCCAATTTCATCAAACATACCCTGAAGGACCTAAAAGTATATATTAACTCCAACACAGTGGTAGTGGGAGACTTTAACACCCCACTATGATGATGATGACTATCATCAATAGATAGGTCATCCAAACAAAAATCAATAAAGAAATCCTAGATCTAAAATATACAATAGATCAAATGGACTTACTTGATGTCTACAGAACATTTCATCCAACTTCTACACAATATACATTCTTCTCAGCAACCCATGGAACCCTCTCCAAAATAGATCATATCCTAGCGCACAAAGCAAGCCTCAGCAAAATAAGAAAATAGAAATTATACCATGCATTCTATCCGATCACAATGCAATAAAACTAGAACTCAACAACAAAAGTAAAGACAAAAAACATGCAAACAGCTGGAAACTGAGTAACTCATTGCTTAATGAACGATGGGTCATTGATGAAATAAAAGAGGAAATTAAAAAGTTCCTGGAAGTCAATGAAAATGAAAACACAACCTACCGGAACCTATGGGACACAGCAAAGGCAGTCCTGAGAGGAAAGTTTATAGCTATGAGTGCATATATTAAAAAGACGGAAAGATCCCAAATCAATGACCTAATGATACTACTCAAACTCCTAGAAAAACAAGTATAAGCAAATCCCAAAACAAATAGAAGGAGAGAAATAATAAAAATAAGAGCTGAAATCAATGAAATAGAAACCTTAGCTACTCTGCCAGACAAAGATACAGCAGTAAGCAACACACACTAACCCCTTCTAGTTGAGCCAGAGGGACCTCAAAGTCATAAACTCCACACAAATCTGTTATTACAATTGTGTGATTAGTGCCATGAAGAAAAAGCATAACTGACAATGAAAACAAATAGGAGAACCTAACCTCATCTGAGATGTCAAGAAAACCTTCCCTAGGAAAGCTCCAAGCCAATCCCTGACAGACGAAGGGAGGTTAGCTGGTGTGAGGGGGGTGGAGTAGGGGGACAGCTTCTTCAGTGAAAGAGCTTTGTA